ACTGGCTGGGCCTGCGCTCTGGGTCTGTTCAGGATCCCACAGGCCCCGGTCGTCTCCTAAAAATTTTATTTATTTATTTATTTATTTATGTGTGTGTGTGTGTGTGTGTGTGTGTGTGTGTGTGTGTGGCCAGCTCAGCCCACCAGGGGGCTGGGCTGGCTGGCATGTGGTGCTGGGGGATTGAACTGTGGTCCTTGTGCTTTGCTAAGCTTGTTCTAAGTAGGTGCTTTAGACCACTGAGCCATCCCACCAGCCCCTCTCTATTCTAGTTTTCTGAGAGTTTTTATTAGTGGATGTTGAATTTGGAAGGTATTTTATGCATCTGTTGTAACTATATATTATGACCTTTGTTTCTCAATAGATAACTTCATTCTTGTTGCAAGTGCTGAGGATTGAATCTTGCTAGGCAGATGCTTTGACACTGAATCACACCCCCAGCCCCACCATGCTTAGTTCACCTTGCTTTGAATTTGGGTCTGGACACATGTATCTGATTAGCACAAATAAATGACAAAAAACTTTCAGAAAGGACTGTAGGCTTTGCCATACAGGAAGGTGAACTAATAAATATTCAGGGAGGAGGCACTGACTAAGCCATGATCAGAGATAGCAATCTATTTGACTGAGCTGGTTTGATGAAAGAAGTGTGTTGCTTGGCACTAGCAGCATAGGGGAGCCCCCTGGAGGGACTGGGATGCAGGTGTAGAAGGCTCACAGCCAGAAGCAGTGAAGCCAAGAGTGCAGTCCAGCTGCGGAGGCCTGTGCCAGCAGCAGTCCCACCACAGCATCTGCTGCCTCTGCCAGCAGTCGTGCTTGTTTTTGCCCCACCTTGACTCTTGTCAGTCAGTGCTACATATCCAGGGTCTGTTATTAGAATGTTGTAGGGCCGGCCCAATAGCTCAGCAGATTACAGCACCTGCTTAGGTAGACCCAAGGGCCAGGGTACGCTGAGATGCGAATGAGACTGGGCATGGTGGCACACGGTTGCAATCCCAGCACTTGGGAGGCTGAAAAACAGGAAGGATCACTACAAGTCCGATCTATATAGTGAGACCCTGTTAGACCCTGTACATCTTGTACTAAATACATTTTTTTTAAATGTGCTGCTGCTTACAGGTTTTGTATTAGCTAACATGCTTTTGATTATAATTTTAGGAGGCCATCTTGTCTTTTATTGAAAGTAGTAAAAAGATGTTCAGCTTAGTGCTCCAACCCACAGAATCTTCACTGTGCCTCAGGCCACTGCCTGCTGTAGCATGCAGTTCCTGCAGGTACCAGTATAGCATGCAAAACCAGCAGTCACACTGAGATCGTTCCTGCTCAGTGGATATGTCACAGGGACTCCTGTAGTGCTGTCATTGGGGACAGAGAAAGGTGGCTCCGCATCAGGGGCATGCTCCAGGATGCTCCTGTGCAGTGTGCCACATCTCAGCGAAGATGAGTGCTGGTGGTAGACACAGCTTGTTGGAACTCTCAGCTTTTACAGACTTTCCCTTCTCTCAGGTTTCTAGGTAAATGCATAGCAGGGCCTGTTTTTCAAAAAGAATAGATGCTAGGGTTTTGGCTTGCTTAAAATCCTTAGAAAAAGGGCCAGCGAGATAGTGCAATAGACTAAGCCCCTGCCCAGGCAAGGTCTGAAACTGGGTTTGATCCCCAGCACCACATGCCGCCCTGCCCCTGCCCCCAGGTGGGCTGAGCCAGCCAGGGAGACCAGATGTGGTGGCACACGCCCGTAATCCCAGCACTGGGGGAAGCTGAAAACAGGAGGATCACTAGAATCCGAGCTGCATAGTGAGACCCTGTGCCAAATATATTTAAAAAAAAAAGTCTTTATGAAGCTACTAAATGAGCATATTGAGTTTAAAAAACTTTTCTTTAGCTTTTATTCAGAGCTGGTGGTTGCACTGTTCTGGTCCTATAGCTGCTGTTAGATTGCCACCCAATTAAACTTAAAATAAATTTATTTTTCTAAAGTTCACCTGGGGCCGGGGATATCTGGGGCATAAGCGCCTGTCTGGCAAGCACAAGGTCCCAAGTTCGATCCCTGGTACTGGGGTGGGTGGGGGGAAGCAATAATAATAAAAGTTCATCTATTTTCTCTTCAGAGCAAACTGGTAAGTTCAATGGGGATGTGAGAGGATATGTGCATCTTACCAAGGTGGCCATGAGCGAACCCCAGCTGTCAGCAGTGTATGTAAGAAGCACTGCTTACCCCTCCCAGTGTGATGGAGAAGCTTAGTGCGGGGCTGAGAGCTGAGTCTGAGGACCAGCCACAGCCAAAGGCTGCCTCACGAACCGTTCATGCCCTTGTGAGCGTCTGCTTGCCCTCCTCGGCGTCTTGGATAGCTAACACGTCCCCTGTACACAGGGCGTGCTGTGTGTATCCTTCGGTTGCAGAGCTCATGAATAGGGTTTCATTTGACCATTTTTGAGCGCTCCTGGACAACAAACCCAGCAAGCAATGTTTTTCTAATAGAAGCACACTGGGCTGTGTTCTTTTTCAGAGGCTTACCTTTTTGTTTTATTTATAACAAAATAGGTCAAAATAGAATCTTTTGAAAAGAATGAGAAATATACCAGAAGCCAAAAGACACTCAGTTGTGCTTGTCATGCTTGGAAGTAAAAGTATCTCAGGCTCAAGCCACTTAAACAGCATTTCTAAAATTGTGCAGCAGCCCCACTTGTCGCTGAGAACTGTCCTAAATCACGACATAGTATCAGTCATCATGTTCATAACTTTAAATTGAATTGATGAAAACAATATATTGAGTCTCTTACTGAGTAGAACTTATTGTTTGGGGCAACTTTTATCTAAGGGTCCAGGGAGATAGCTCAGTAGAATAAGTGCCCGCCTGGCAAGTGCAGGGTGTCCTGAGTTCAATCCCTGGTACCACCAAAAAACCCAAAAACCCTTTTTTCTAAAATAAATGTTTCTATAATAAGATTTTCATTTAAATATTTGCCTTGAAGTGATTTTAAAGATCGTGTTAAATATTTTTCAGCTCCCTTGGAAATCATTGACTAGCATCATTGAATATTATTACATGTGGAAAACTACTGACAGATATGTGCAGCAGGTAATGTTTTCATTTTTGTCACCATCATTGCACTGAATTTTGTTTTAGTGTTTCTTAACAATGCACTAGTTTCAAATGATCTTTTCTAGACTATTTAAACTGCATGATACCCTGTTTCTAGGATATTCTTTTTTAGATTTTCATCTTAATATGTCCTTGAACTTAGCATGTAAGTATTTTTCAAAGATGATAGAGAAAGTCACCACTAGACAGGCGTTTTCTTTGCATTCAACTGGCACTTCATCTGTTTGCATGTATAGTTGGTGGGAATTACCCAAGAAGTGGTACCACATCAGACATCCTGCACAACTGTTTCCATGAAGTATTGGAAATTGAGACTCATGTCTTGAACCTTATACTTGGAGATATTTTTTTTTTAATTTTATTTATTTACTTAAGAGTGTGTGTGTGTGTGTGTGTGTGTGTGTGTGTGTGTGTGGCCAGCTCAGCCCACCAGGGGGCGGGGCTGGCTGGCATGTGGTGCTGGGGGATTGAACCGCGGTCCCTGTGCTTTTTGCTAAGCTTGTTCTAAGTAGGTGCTTTAGACCACTGAGCCATCTCACCAGCCCCTTGGAGATATTAATATCTTCTGAACACTCCTCACATGGCCTTTGTGTGGATGATAGCCTGAGTTTGTTTTTATCTTAGTTTTGCTGTTTTCTTTGCTAGTATACTTATGATTCTTCTCCAAGATTATTTTAATTTTATTTATTTACTTTTTTTTTTTTTTTTTTTTTGCGGAACTGGTGATTGAACTCAGGCCCTTGCACTTGCCAGGAAAGTGCTTATTCTACTGCGCCATCTCCCCAGCCTCCAGTATTATTTTAGAGAATCATTTAAATTTTGAATCCTTTCCAAATCCAAGTAACTCACTTATTTTAAATAATAATTACCTCTGTGAAAGGCATACTTCCCTAAAATGACATCAGCTTTATATCAACTGGTTAAGAAAGGCAAATAGATTTAACAGACTTTTTTTAAAAAAAGTTATGCAGATTACACAATGGCACATATTGGATGTTGATCAAATACATTTTTTTTTGGCAGAACTGGGATTGAACTCAGACCCTTGCACTTGCCAGGGAAGTGCTTATACCACTGAGCCATCTCCCCGACCCCGATCAAATACATTTTTAAGGATCTCTTTACAATGTACCATAATAACTTGCTCAAGGTCGTGAAAACGGAATAGGTATCTGTTGCCCACAAAACAGTTTCTGCTGTCAACATCATCTATAATTCAGAAAGTGCTTGTTTGAATCAAATTGGTTAGAAGAGAAAACGATGTACTCTAGAAGCTTGTGTTACTCCAGTCTTGTCCCTAATAGTGGCAACAGTGACATCAAGAATGGCTAAAAATATTTGATAAAAATTATTCCCTGTAATTTCAGCTCTGTTCTAAAAGTTTCATGTATCCTCTAAATGTTTTCTTTTCTCATTGGGAAAATGGAGGATGGTATTAGGTCTTTTTTTTTTTTTTTTTTTTTTTTTTTTTTTTTTTTTAGGGGAGGGTCTACAGGTTGTTCAGGGTCTTACTACTAGATCGGACTCTTAGTGATCTGCCTGTTTACAGCCTCCCAAGAGCTGGGATTATAGGCGCACGCCACTGCACCCAATCTCAATTGCCTCTCAGCACACCCCGGGGTTGGGCTGGCATAGCAGGCCTGGGAATTGAACCCCCAGCCCCTGCTCCTGCTTGCAAGTGCTTTAATCCACTGAGCTATTTGGCTGGCCTGGTTTTTTTTTTCCCCCTGGACACTTGACTTTCTATTATTTTCCTTCTCCATCTGTGTCTCCTTCCTTTTCCTTTCCCTGCATTTGATGGATTGGTTTCAGCCAGCACTTAGTTACTGCATCCCTTCCAACATTTAAGGACAACGGCTTAGTTAATGTTACATACAATGAATACAGTCTCTTTCCCTTGTTTAGTTGTACAAACTAATTATATCTGAGCATTTGTCTAAAAGCACAGATTCTGTGCTTTTTTTTTTTTCTCTCCTAAAAAGGCAGGCTACAAGGGCTGGTCCTTAGATGTGGGGGCCTGGAGTTCGATTCCTGGGCCTGCTGTGCTGGCCCCGGGGTGTGCTGAGGCTGGGTGTGGTGGTGCCTGCCTGTAATCCCACCATATGGGAGGCTGTAAACAGAAGGATCACTGCGAGTCTGATCTACTCTACACAGTGAGACCCTGTCCACCCTGTGCTAAATACAAGAAGAAGAAAAAAGAGGCAAGCAAGAAATAAAAGTAGAAAATAAATTTATAAAAGTAAAAATGGTGAATTCTGAAGGTCTTGTTGGGAACTGCGGGTTCGAGTCTGTGCTGATCAGGTGCAGAGGCCCTCCACGCAGTCTCTAGCATGGAGAAATGGCCTTTTTACTTTCCCAAGGAGGAATGGGAAGTGGAGGTATTTGTTGCTTTGTTTCAAAAATCTGGGTTTAAATTACCAATATGTATAGCTCTATAGCCTGGAATTCAATGACTTTTCTCACAGGTTGCTGTAGTTTAAGAATATGCCTATGAAAGAAAAGCTTGCTTCAGAAAGAAGTTTTTAAATTAATTTTAATATTTTCCTGTGAAGTTTTGAAGACAATGAAGTGGTGATGAGTAGTCATTGCATGTAAAATATTTCGTTTATGTTTTGAATTAGAAACGTCTAAAAGCTGCAGAAGCTGAGAGTAAACTGAAACAAGTATATATCCCGACTTAGTAAGTAATTGAAATCTTTTACAATATTTGACCTGGTCTTAATTCTGTCACTGTACCACATGTCATTTTGTTCAGTTTCTGGTAAACTTGAAATTCTTTGTGCATATTACTTTCTTTTTAAACTATTATTACTTTCTTTTCCTACAAAGCATGAGCCTTTCTGCTTCTTTTGTACAACTATATCGATTTTTTTTTTTTACAAGAGCACAAAAGCACTTTTATTTTCCGTTAGTTTAAATTCTTGAGCGGTACAGCATCACACGGATTCGGTGTCCGATGGCCTTAGCAGGAAGGTTGCTTCGGAACTTGGCACGAACCGTGCCGCTGTTTCCATGGGCCCGAGTTACTTTTCCCCAGATCACTCTGGTTGTGTTTGGTTTGCCACCTGGAGTCACTGTGCTGTTTTTCGCTTTGCACACATAAGCACGTCTCCTGCCCAAGTAGAATTCTGTTTCATCCTGGGCATAAACACCTTCAGTTTTAGGAAGAGCTGTGTGTTCCCTCTGGTTCCGGAGACTCCGCTTACAGCCAACAAAAATGGCCTTGCACCACAGTCTGCCAGACATATTTGCCTTTTAGAAGTCCTGTTCCTGGTGGGACTCCCCAGGCTCCAAGATGGCCTATATAGATTTTTTTTTTTAAAGAAAAAGAAATGGGTGAGAGAACACAGAGGGTTAACATGAAACCAGAGATAAAGAACACCATGCGTTGTATTTTTCTCAGAGAGCTTCAGGGAAAGTATCAGAAAACTAACCTGTGAGCTGGGCATCGTGGCATCTGTAATCCCAACCATCAGAGGCTGAGGCAGGAGGATCACCAAGAGTTTGCTTTGTTTTAACTAAATTACTGTACCTTTTTTTGAGACCTTCAGGGCTTGAGTATTTCTTTGTTCAAATTACATATATTTATTGAACATCATGTACATAGTATTATTCTAGGTATTCTAGAATTTTTCGGGATTAAAATGAAATTTATTACAAAACTTGTATGTGTTCTAAGAGTTTATTTATTCTTAGAGGTAAATATAGTTATTTTTACATACCCTCTTATTTACTGAATTGTAGTATATTGTTTGTTGTTTTTTTGTTTTTGGTGGAACCAGGGATTGAACTCAGGCCCTTGTGCTTGCCAGGCAAACACTTATTCTACTGAGCTATCTCCCCGGCCTCAATTCTAGTATATTGTATAGGGCATAATCTCTTCTACAGTGATTTTTAATTCCATTTCAATTATGTATCTTGTTTGACTAATGTATAAAATTGACACTCCCCGAAGAATGTACCATTGGAACTCATGTGTATGAAGTTTTCAAAAACAAACAGCAGATTTCTTGTCCCTCACTGTCCTTTTTCCATCAAAGGATAGTACATGTAACCATTTTTGCCCAATCAACCCAAGACATTTTTATTCCACTTTACATTGACTCTAGTGTCTTGATCTAAATCTCTAGTCTGTGCAAAATCTAAGCTAGCACCTGTTTTTTTAATGACATACTTGTTGATTTCTGCATTGTTTTTAGTCTGATTTAGGGCCACAATAGCAGACTTATGTTACCCACAAAGTTAAAATACTGAACTCTGGCCCCTTACAGAAAACATATTCTAATCCCTGGTCTTAGTAATTAGTTTTAGAGGTCAATGCAGTTTCTAATCATAAAAAAATTATATGTCAGACATGTTGTTCAAAAATATGCAGCTGGAGGCTGGGGAGATAGTAGAATACGCACTTGCCTGGCAAGTGCCTGAATTCAGTCCCCTGTTCTGCACCAAAAAAAAAAAAAAAAAAAAAAAGAAAGGTTTATTTTATTTTATTTTATTTTATTTTATTTTATTTTATTTTTTGGTGGAACCAGGGATTAAGCTCAGGCCCTTGTGCTTGCCAGGGAAGCGCCTAATCTACTGAGCCATCTCCCCGGCCCCTCCAAATTATTAGTAGTAAATTACAGAACCAGGCATGGTGGCACACACCTGTAATCTCTGCGCTAGTGAGGTCAAAACAGGAGGATTGCTGCAAATTTGAGACAAGGCTGGGGGCTACAAAGTGAACACAAGGCTAACCCGAACTGCATATATATATATAGTGACCCTGTCTCAAAAAACAAACCCAGTAAATTAAAAGTGATTTTCTTCTGTTTTTTGAGCCTGGCAGTCTCCTGTAATCCAAGCATTCTGTTGAGTACTAGGAGTAATAAGGTTGATAAGATAGTTTTATATAAAAAGAAGCGCTGGATATTCTGATGACATATAGTGCATATTAAATATTTTTGTCTTAAACTCAGGCAGAAAGTGAGGTAGAGATACAATTGTGAACTTAGCCAGCATACAATAATAGTATTTTAAACCGTAAAGATTCCTGAAGGAGAGCAAGAAAAAAGAGCCTTTTTCAAGACTTGAGTAAATCTGGCATTTATAGACCACAATAGAGTGTGATAACTGAAGAGGACAGTGAGCATGCACGCTGCTGTCGAAGCTGAAGCTGCTGTAGAGAGAGTAACACTCCCAGGCTCGGTGATGCAGAGCAGCGTGGGGGTGGTGATAGTGCTCTTCAGTGGAGTTCTGGGGGCTGAGCAAGGGTGCCAACGCTGCAGGGGGAGGGACAGCGGTGGGGAGATGCTTTTACCTGGTGATAAGAGGGAAGAGAATCAGTCAGTGCATACAGGGGAGGTCGTGGAGGGCTGGGATCCACAGTACAAGCAGGGAGAGGCTTTGGTGCTAGACACAGGGAAGGACAGGTGCATGTAATGTGTCTCTGGGGTGGGTTGGTTGGTTTGTTTGAATCCTAGCATTGAACCATGAATCAAGCACCAACTCTAGATTCAGCTATCTCCATCTAAAACTGCATGAGGCTTTGCATATAATGAACCTTTAGAAAATGTATGATTATGTTTGTGTTACAGATTGTCACAATGACATCCATCATTTGTCCCCATAGATCTAATTTTTGAGTACTTTGTTTCATAGAGATCAAGTGATTCAGAAGTGTATGTGTAGTTTTGACACATTTGTTTTCCTTTTATTATAGTTAGGATAGTAGTTTGCTGGGCATGGTGGCACATACCTATAATCCTAGCTCCTTAGTGTAGACTAAGACAGGAGGATCACAAATCTAAGGCCAGCCTTGGCAAGTTAGTGTGACCCTGCTTGTCACACTTTCCCCGCTTGCCCCACACCCCCCAAAAAATGGGCTATAGCTCAAAGAAGCTCATTGATAACAGCCCTTGTCTGGCAGGAGCAAGACATGGGTTCCATTCCCATTTTGGTGGGATGGGGTGGGTGGGAAGAATGTATGGTTTATTTAGTCAGATAACATTTTAGATCAATTTGAACAACTGAATGTGTGTGTGTGTGTGTGTGTGTGTGTGTGTGTGTGTGTGTTTAGATAAAGGAGAGAGGTTTTTTACTTTTTTTTTTTTTATTTGCTACAGGGTCTTGTTATGTAGTTCAGACTTGTAGTGTCCCTCCTGTCTCAGCCTCCTTGGTGCTGGGATTACAGGCAGGTGCCACCATGCCCGGTTTCCATGGCGGCACAGCATGCAGTATCAGGGATCATACTTAGGTCCTTGTGCTTGCAGGGCAGGCCTTTAAGACCACTAAGCTATCTTCCCAGCCCTTGTGTTTGCTTTTATTCAGAGTGTTCAACTGTAAATTTTTATTGGTTGTTTTCCAACACATATTTAGTTCTGTTTAAATATCAGTAGTGTGTGCTTCTTTGTTTCTTTTCTTTTTTTTTTTTTTTTTTTTTTTTTTTGTATTAGGAATCAAACTCACAACCTTGTGCTTGTCAGGCAGGCATTGTGCCTCTGTTGTGCATCTTTCTGAGAAGCCTCTAGCCAATCATTTGGCTTCAAGGAGCATTTCTCTACATAGTAGATGTTTATTTGTTTGTTTGTGCAATTACGGGAAGTGATCCAAAGGAGCACTAAGCTCTATACCTACTCCTTTAAAATGTCTTAAAATTTTGACACAGGGTCTTGCTAAGTTGCCCAGGCAAGCCTCAAATTTATAATCCTTCTGCCTCAGCCTTCTGTGTACCTGGGATTACAGGCATGTGCCTCCATGTCTGGCATATACTGTTTCTTTAAAAATTTAAATAAGTGTTATGAGTCCTTGGAAACAGTCATTCTAAACCACTCTTTTTCATTCTGTACATTTTTAAGTAAGAAAAATCACTTTCTGTTTGATTTGATATGTTTTTTAAAAACCAATTTGCCAGGATTGGGGCTGAGTTCAGCAGTAGCAATTGTGATAAAACTGGTATTTGCGAATATTGGGTTTGATTCCCAGTATTCCAAAATTAAGAAATGTATTGTTTTCAAAATTAACTGCTGACACAAGTGTAAGCAACAGGGAGGCTGTCTTCACAGGTGGATCACTATGATCCAATCTAGTAGTAAGACCCTGAACATCGTGTAGACCCTTCCCTAAAAAAATAGAAAAAAAAAAATCTTAGGTGTATTTTCCCAGGCCAAATCAAGCTAACATCCTTGTGTAAGGAAGAAATCCCTGAGGCAGATCTGTTGAGGCGGCTATCTTTGCATCAGTAGCCGCAGGAAGACAACACGGTTTGCATGTAGAGCATAATCTCCATTTATTCATTCAGTATTCGTTTCTACATTTGATAATTAAGTTTGTGTATTTTTTTGTCTAGAAAGTAGACTTGAAAGGTTCTCAAGGATTCCTGATTTCAACTCAATCCCCAAACTCTAGGGGTAGGGGGTAGTGTTCGAGGAGTCTTGGCTATCCGAGTTCTACTTTTATTTAATTTTTATATTTTAGGGAAAGGTCTATAGAGTGTTCAGGGTCTCACTACTAGATCGACTTGCAGTGATCTGCCTGTTTACAACCTCCTAAGAGCTGGGATTACAGGGGAGTGCCATCAAGCCCAGTCTCAGTTGCTGCCTCAGCACACCCTGGGGGTGGGGTGGGGGCAGCGCCAGTGCAGGAGACCCCCGGGCCCTGTGTCTGTACCTGCTTGCAGGCAGGTGCTTTAATCTGCTGAGCTATTTGGCTGGCCCGAAAGGATGAAGCTCCTTGAAGTCAATTTTTTTTTTTTTTTTTTTAAACTAGACACTGAGTAGATAAATGCTGAATAAGCTGCACGCCGTGCAAACCTGCACAGTGCTCTTGGGCCTGGGGTATGTACAGGAAGTTAGCTGTGTTGGCAGAGTGAGCACTGACAGGCCTGGACTGTATGTTTCTTAAGAATTAGTGGTTATGTTGGCTTGGTCTGAAGGAAATTTGCATAGACTTTTGATGGATGCCACTTTTTTCCTCCTAAACATGATTTGTTATAAAGAAAAAGCTTAAATCTCAAAATTACGGATTTTTCTAATTTTAAGTGCTGTTTTAATCTTCATAGAAATTCAGACATGCTGGAAATTGTCATAGGAGTAGGATCAGGTGGTCAGGATCCCCGAAATGGTAACTGGGCTATGAGAGGCACCGTGGCTTCCTGCATAGCGTGGCTCCCTGCATAGTGTGCTGCTAATACCTCCCCTCCAGGGCAGCCTCGGGGGCTGCAGGAGGGAGCAGTGGCTTGGTTTCTGCAGCTACCCATGCTGACTTTAGCTTAAGCTATTTGATCTAAACTTTTTTTCTTAGTAGAATTTATTAGTGGTGAAACCTCTTATCTTGCATTTTTCAGAAGCATCCAAAGATGGCCTAGGGGCCGGGGCAATAGCTCAGTAGAATAAGCACTTGCCTGGCAAGTGCAAGGGCCTGAGTTCATTCCCCAGTTCTGCCAAAAACAAACAAACAAAAAAACAAAGCAAAACCAAAAATGGTCTAAAACGTAAAGTGCCTTTTGATAGACAAGAGGTGCTACTTTTACCTGGAAAGGGTCAGACACAGAGACTGATTATTACATAGCCTTGTTCTGTAAACATGAATGGTTCATTTTAATACCTTGTTTTTAGCAGTTTGTTTCTGCTTAGTTAAGGTAAATTACTAAGGAGATACTGAGCTTTCTATCTTGTTATACAAATCATTTTTATCACCTCACTTTACATTTCATTGAAAGCAGCAAACCAAATCCCAACCAAATATCTACCAACAACGGCAAGCCGGGCACTGTGAATGGAGCTGTGGGAAGCACGTTCCAGCCCCAGAACCCCCTCTTAGGTCGCGCCTGTGAGAGCTGCTATGGTAAGTGTGCTTCGACAGGGCTGGCTCTTCCCCTCTCAGGCGTGTCCTCGGTGAAGTGCACTGGGGGTGGGAGGGTGAGCAGCTTTTGGGAACTGTATGATCTGTACAGCACAGAGGCTGGGTGAGTCTCCTCAGAGTACGTAGGTGCCCATGCCTGCTTCTGCTGGAGCAGAGGGCTTTCCACTGAGCGTTACTCTATATACTGGGCAGAGGTGTTAGGTTTCCTTTGAGTGTTTGATGGCAGGGTTTGCTAACCTATGTGCAGAGCTGTGTGAGCTTTGCCTAAACCATGGTCCTGAGAAACATGTTAAATCCCCTTTTGGAGTTTCTCTAGGTCCTTTGACAAAGGTGTTCCATAATTCTTCAGGAAAGGCATGTATGTAAATTGCTCTTCTTAATCATCAGAATACCAGTTTGAGAGCTGTTTTTCTGAGAGATTTCCTTTGGCCTTAGGGCACGTTTGTATTTGTCTTTACTGGTAGTACTGTGTTGTATGCCCTGGGTGGTAAGTGAAGGTGATTGGTGTATTTGTTTAAAAAATTTCAAGCAACAGCCAGGTCTGATGGTACATGCCTGAAATCCTAGCACTTGGGAGGGAAAGGCTGAGGCAGGAATACTGCTCTGAGTTCTAGAACAGCCTGGACTATATAACAAGACTCTGGAGCCTGTGAGATAGCTCAGCAGACTAAGTGCTTAGCCAAGTGCAGGGACCGTGGTTCAGTCCCCAGCACCACATGCATTGCTGGTCTCATCCCCAGGCACACTGAGCCAGCCACCAAGACAGCCTGTAATCCCAGTGCTGGGGAGGCTGAAAACAAGAGGATCACTATGACTCTGAACTGTGCACTGAGATCTTGTACCAAATATATTAAAAAGAAGAAAAAGAAAACAAGGCACTGTCCAGTAAATGAATGAATGAACAAATGACCAACCAATCTCAAGCAACAGTTTAATATCTTAGCAGGATATTGGTGACATCGTGTATATCAAGGTGGCCTAGGGTGGGAGAAAGACAGCATCTAATGTTCAGTGCAAGTCTGCTGTGCCCAGTCTTTGGCTTCAGCAGCCTTTCGGAGGTAGATGTGGCCTGCTTCTGCTGCAGGGACACAGGAGTGTGGGGGCTTCATGACTGCTCTGTGTGCCACAGCAGGCACCAGCAGTCAAAAGGCTTTAAAAACCTAATCACATGATTCTCCCTCAGTGCCCAGCAGTGTGTGAGTCAGACTGTTGGCTGATGTTGGGGAAGTGAGGCCCTGGGATGTGTCCTGCCATGTGTCTTGCCACAGGACACCAAGGAAAAGTAGATTCTTTAGGTGTAGCTTTTACAAGAATAGCATCAGAACTATCTTCGAGTTGGAAATTTTAAATTTTGAAGTGTGTGTATATTTGAATGAAAGTAGAAAGGAGCCCTAAAGACAAATGGTAATAGTTTGATCACTTTTGAGATAAGATCTGTTATGGCCCCAGCTGCCCTTGTACTCCTGGGCTCACTGTGCCCTCCTGCCACAGCCTCCTAGGTAGCTGGGACTACAGACATGTGCCTGTATTTCTTACGTTTTATATTTTTAGTTTCAGACTCATTCTCACTTACCCGTATTCATTCAAATAATTATTGACACTTTATGTGTATAATAAATAAGTGATTTTATTTTTATATTTTTATCTAGATACTAATTTTCATTGTAAATTTTTAAATTATTTTTGTAGAACCAGGATTGAACTCAGGCCCTTGCGCTTGCCAGAGAAGGACTTATATTCTATTGAGCTATCTCCCCAACCCAAAATATTTTTTGTTTTATTTTAGTTTTTTTTGCAGTACCAAGGATTGAACTCAGGACCCTGTGCTTGCCAGGCAAGCACTTATTCTGCTGAGCTATCTTCCCAGCCCCCAAAATATTTTAATATACACATAAAATTTTTTAACTCTAGGACTTTTTTTTAAGGACAGGTTCTATAGGGTCTCACTGTGTAGATTGGACTCATAGTGATTCTCCTGTTTACAGCCTCTCAGATGCTGGGATTACAGGCACACGCCATCACACCCAGTCTCAGTTGCCATCTCAGCAAGCCCCGGGGGCGGGGCTGGCATGGCAGGCCTGGAGATGGAACCCCTGGCCCCTGCATCTGCCTAAGCAGGTGCTTTAATCCACTGAGCTATTTGGCTGGCCCCAATGCTAGGAATTTTTTTATCAAATGATGTTCTTTTTTTAGTTTTTTTTGTTTTGTTTTACTGTTTTAGGGTTTCATTCTGTAGTCCAGGCTGGCCTTGAACTCATAGCAGTCCTCTTGCCTCAGCCTCCCAACTGCTGGCTTTACAGGTGTGTGCTACCACACTGGCTTTATTTCTTTCTTGTACCAGGAATAGAACTTCGGCTTCAGTCGCCTTGCTAGGCAGGCTCTGTGCCACTGAGCTACATCCCTGACCCTTGATGTTCATTTTTATTGAAGTTATTTAAGTGAAATTTTGTATTTAAAATCCAGAAATAGATCTATAGCTTCTTACTTAGAATTAAAATTTGTCTTTAAAATATCTTTTAGGCAGGGTTTGATGACTCATTTCTGTAATCCCAAACTCAGGAGGCTGAGGCAGGATGGTCACAGTGACTTTGAGGCCAGCCTGGGCTACATGATAAGACCTGTCTCAAAAAATTTTTAAAAATATATTTTTTACTTACTTTATATAAGAAAGGTTTCTAGGTGTGTATTTATAATAAATTCTTCTAAAATAACGTTAACAGTGAGTGCATATATTATTTCAAAGAAGCTAAATATTAAATGTAACAGTCCCAGTATTTCCTTCATTTTTTTGGTGGGTAGGCTCTAAAACCATGTGATCTTCTCGGTCTCTGCCCACAATACATGTTGTCTGTCCCTCTGTCGCCTCTTGTCCTTTTTCTGTGTGCCTCCCACTTTAGGCAAGAGCTCTACCTCTGAGCCACACACTAGCCCGTGTGATTTGCTCCTGCTGACACTGGCTTGTGAGGTTTTAGCTGATACCCTCAGTGCACTCTTGAACACTTTGATCTGATGAAAGTATCAGAGGAAAACTTCCAAGGCAGTTGCAGTTGCAATGGTTTTTTTTTTTTTAAATTATTTATTTATTTATTACATTTATTTATTATGTGTGTGTGTGGCCAGCTCAGCCCACCAGGGGGCGAGGCTGGCTGGCATGTGGTGCTGAGGGATCGAACCATGGTCCTTGTGCTTTGCCAAGCTTGTTCCAAGTAGCTGCTTTAGACCACTGAGCCATCTCTCCAGCCCCTGCAATGGTTTTTACATACTTCATTAATTCAGTGTTTCAGCACTAGTGTTTCCTATCTCTAACTTCAGACCCAAGGTGACTATTTTTCATGTTATGTGGTAGGAGTTTAAACTGCAAAGCAGAACAAATACAGGCTTGCAATGTTCAGCCAAGCAATAATTAAGCTGCATTTTGGGTCTTAAAATGTATTGTTATATCAGCTGCATATGTTCACTTGATGTGGCTCTATAGTGTTGAAAGTTATTCTGGGGGCCGGGGAGATGGCTCAGTAGAATAAGCACTTCCCAGGCAAGCGCAAGGGCCTGAGTTCAATCCCCAAAAAAAAAAAAAAAAAAAAAAAAAAAAAAAAAAAAAAAAAAAAAGGGAAGGAAAGGAAAAAAGACGGATGTTATGGGTTTATAGGAAGAAATTAAGTATTTTATTTGTTGATTAAGAGACAGGGATGGCAAATAGATTAGTTTCTATTTGATTCATGGTGTTATGAATGGCGCCACCTCTGAACACACTAAATAAGTGCTGAGGAGCTTTCTGAGCTCGGCTTGGGAACTTGGACTTAGATTTTATTTTATTTTATTTATTTATTTATTTTAATTTTTAAAAATTTATGTGTGTGTGTGGGTGGGTGGGTGGCCAGCTCAGCCCACCAGGGGGCGGGGCTGGCTGGCATGGGGTGCTGGGGGATTGAACCGCGGTCCCTGTGCTTTGCTAAGCTTGTTCTAAGTAAGTGCTTTAGACCACTGAGCCGTCTCACCAGCCCATTAGATTTTAAATGCTAGTAACAATCATAATAATTAGCCCAGTATAATGGCATATGCCTGGTAATCCCAGCAGAAGGATTTTCATGAGTTCAAGGCTAGTCTGAGCTACATAGTAAGATACCCCCCTAACATACTAATAATATCTGAAAACTTATTTTCAAAAATGAAAGCATTTTAAAATAATAGAAAAATTAAAATAAAATAATAGAACAAAACTCCCTGAGCAGAGCAGTGTGTAAGTTCTTCACCATAGCCTGTTAGATGGCACAGGCAATCCATGCATAGCAGAAACCAGTGCTTTCACGAATCCTGAGTCTTACAAAATGCATATATATGTTGTGCTTTCATGTTTGGCTTATAAACTGGGGAAAGAAAAGTTAACATTGTAAACTAAGAGTTGCTTTGCAGTGATTTTTGAGATACTAGATTCTATTTCTGTTGATGTTGCAAAATTCATAGTGTTTTTTTTCCCTCTGTCTTTAGCAACACAGTCTCACCAGTGGTATTCTTGGGGCCCACCTAACATGCAGTGTAGATTGTGTGCAACTTGTTGGCTGTATTGGAAAAAATATGGAGCCTAAAAATGCCCACCCAGTCAGAAGAGGAGAAGTTATCTCCCAGCCCATCTGCAGAGGTATATGACAGTGGTATTCAGTGCTGGAAAATGTCATGTTTTTCAATAGTTGGCTTATTCCTTGGGAAGAAAAGTACAGTATAAGAGAGTGTAAAAATGAATGAGGCTATTTTTATAGCTAAATATAGCACTACATTATTCAGGGTGGGTGTGGAGAAAGGAACAAGGAGAAATCGATTTTTTTTCAAATATTCAAAATATTGATCTTGTGAGACTGCTCAGACAAAAGAATAATGTATGTGGGTGGCATTAGCATAAGTAGAGAGTTTACAAATTAAGAGTTTGTTTAATTGCTTTGGGAAACAATTTGTAACCTTTAGATACTGTTGAAAACATTATTATTTGAAGTAGTAAACACAAATTGGACATTTTTTCTCTCCCTGGCTATTATGGAGGGGCAAGAAGGGATTGGACTCAATGTTGAGGTGAGCGATAGTTGAAATCTGATTTTGGTGAAACATTTATAGATTGAGGATGCCAGGTACCTATGTTCACCAAAGGGAGGCTGTTCTTTTTTAGTGCTAATTTGATCTCAGGACTCCTTAATAATAAAAATCTAGCCCCTTTGTAAGTCCATATGTTGCGTATACAATGTTGGCTGATGGTGTTGCGTCCTGCCCAGTTCCTGCTGTTCTCACGTTGCTCCCAGAGTGCACACACTTTTCAGTGCCTTTTCAGGAGTAGCGTCCTAGCTTACAGGTGCCTCAGTGACTGATTCAGCAATCAGACTTTACTTGGAATATGACGGTGGTAATGTGTCCAGACAGGTTCTCTTCTCTAAGTGCTTGTTCGTTTGTGATTTTGCAGGATGCCCGAGTGAGAAGTCACCTGTCCCGGCAGGCCATGCAGGGAATGCCAGTCCGAAACACAGGGAGCCCGAAGTCCGCAGTGAAGACCCGCCAAGCTTTCTTCCTCCACACGACATATTTCACAAAATTTGCTCGTCAGGTCTGCAAAAACACTCTCCGATTGCGGCAGGCAGCAAGACGCCCGTTTGTTGCTATTAATTATGCTGCCATTAGGGCAGAATGTAAGACGTTTTTAAATTCTTAACCTTACATGTTGTGCTTTTCTTACCATTTTCTTTCTTTCCCTTTTTCTTTTTTGTTTGTTTGCAATAAACATAAGTTCTTGTATACAGCCTTTTATTTGTTTTTTTTTTTTTTAACATTGTTTTTGTCTGCTGCCATCTGTGTCATACCAAGAGGGCGGGCCATGAAGTGTAAGTCTCTGTGAGAGTAGAGCTCGGCAGGAAGAGGGGAGGTGAACTGTCGGAGGACTAGTGATGGAACTGCCTGAAGATTTCTTACTGAAGCACTTTTGTTAGGCAGTATCGCAGACAATCCCTAAGGATGGTGGTACAGTGAAACTCCCTAACTGAGACAGCATCTGTGTCCAGTCTTTATGGATTGATTAGGTTTAAATAAAATTGATTGGGGCTGGGGAGATGGCTCAGTGGAATAAGTGCTTCCCTGGCAAGCGCAAGGGCCTGAGTTCAATCTCCAGTTCTGCCCCAAAAAATAAATGAATGAATGAATAAATAAATAAAATTTAAAAATTGATTAATTCAGACTCATTAGAAGTCGGATGTCTATGTAAACTCATTTCCCCAAGGAAACCTTTACAGTCATACAACATTATGGAAATTGACAGGGCTTCATAACAAATGCTATATTTATTAGGTTTATCAAATTATAAATAAACTTTGAAATCATTTTGGGTGAATTTTTTGAAAGTACAGTTTTAGGTTTTTAAGCTAGCTTCTAAATTTGTAGTTGAGTAGTCTGTTGAATTTGGTTTCTATTTCATAATCATATCATATAACATGTACATAACTCATTACTCTTTTTTTTCAACACATTCAGTCTTGCTTGTTTCCTTTTTTTTTTGTTAGAGCGAAGGTCATATGTACCAGTGAATTGTGGGTGGTTCTGTCATTACCATAGAATCAGTCAGTCAGTGCGTTGGCTCTGGGTGGGTAGTCCTGGATCGAAGAGCCGAGTGACTTTTCCCCCTAAGGAATAAGATCGCTTGCTGTCTGACTTCAGATGGGAAGCCGTAAGTGGATTCAGATGCTTATCTGTGATATAAGAAGTTGTATAATGAGATTTTTCTTTTTGATTTAAAGAGGATGTCCATGAAAGGAATGATAACTGGGAAACCTTTTTTGGTTTCTGAAGATAATTTTCAGCAGAAAATTGAAAGTTGAGAAGTGTAAAAGTTACTGGTAAAAGCTGTGTAAAAAGAAAAGTCTTTTGTAAAGTGAGTAGAAATTGTCAGTAATGACGGTGGCTCATGCAGGGATAACGAGATGCATTACATTCATGTCTATTTGAGAATATAGGCTTAGCTTTAGCTTTAAACTGGAGTTTCTAAGTTCACAGATGCATGTTATCACTTTATTACACCCATTTTAATAAACAACTAGAAAATAAACATATTGACCCAAGCTTAGTTGACTAAAAACATACATTTACATGTAGTTTCTTAGAACAGTTAAAACATGAGGAAGAAAATGGTCATAGTTCTTCCATTAAATGTGAAGATCCAATATCGTTCTTTCCATAAGGGAAAAGAGAAACTGTGACCAATCTAATTGCTACTGAGGTGGCTGCTTTTCTCTTGGCTTTTCAATTTTCATTTAATTTACACAGCATCTTTGAGTATGATTTTCTGTCACATTAGTCAGGTTTTTCCCTCATTTAAAGAGCTATGCTGCTAAAAAAAAAGGGGGGGTTATGATTAAATCACCCATATTTTATTTCTGTAAGCTTCCAAAAACTAGTAAGTTATTTGTTGGGATTAGAGTCCAGTAGCATAATTACTTTGTTTGTTGTATTTACTTTACTGGACACCATCACATAGAATCTGATTCTTACAGTAATTAATTTTACTTTAAGACATTTAAAATCTCAGCATTTGAGCAGCCCTCCACTCAGTGACTTTTGTTTGTAGTCGACTAATAAACTCCTTATCCTACCACCTAATTCTCTCTCTCTCTTTTTTTTTTTTTTTTTTGGTAATGAGAATCAAACTCAGGACCCTAAACTTGTCGGGCAGACGCTGTCTCACTGAGCTATGTTTCTAGCCCCTAATTGCTTGCATCAGTTTTCCCCTTATGTGTAGCTCTGCAACAGATACCTTACTACTGCCTTGTTAATAAAATTAGGTGTTGACCTGATATGTAGACAACCAAGGCTGTGTATCTGGGCAATGAATATGTATGTGCTTTTAGTAAGCTTTCCCCGGCCCCTGCTCCCCCTGAAAAAACTTGAATCTCTGTAATGCAGTGTGAGTGTTCTCAGGTCAGGTGAAAGTTTGCAATACAGGATAGACTAAAAGTCATCCTGTTGGACATTCTCATAATTCAGTTTGAGAAAGTTTTTAAGAAGTAATTTAAAAACTGAAATACTGTGTAAGCCAGGTGTGATGGTGCATACTGGTGAGTCCAGCACTTCGGAAGCTGAGGTAGAAAGTTTTGCAAGTTTGAGACCAGCTAGGCCACATAGCAGGACTTTATCTCAAAAAAAAAAAATAAATAAATAAATAAATAAAAAAGGGGCCTGGGGAAATAGCTCAGTGGAATAAGCGCTTGCTTGGCAAGTGTAGGGTCCTGAGTTCAATCCCCAGTACTGCAAAAAAAACCCCACAAAAAAACCAAGTATGTGGTATTACCAACACTTTAAGAATATACATGAGAAAAAAATAATACATGTGTTACATATTTATGAAAAGGTGATTTAAAAAAAAAAACTAATTTCCCCAAATACCTATATTAATAATAAATGATTGTGTGTGAATAAGTGCCAAAATGTCCTGGCCAGTTCTACCTTGCAGATTAAAAATAGGCTGGTAAACTAAAATTCAAAATAGCATAAAGAAAAAAATATTTTTTTTATATTTTAGGGCAGAGTCTACAGGGTGTTGGGGTCTCACTACTAGATTGGACTCGTAGCAATCCGCCCATTTACAGCCTGCTAAGAGCTGGGATTATAGGCTCGCGCCACCATGCCCAGTCTCAGTTGCCTCTCAGCGAGCCCCAGGGGTGGAGTCGGTAGAGCAGGCCTGGGGATCAAACCCCTGGCCCCTGCCCCTGTTTGCAGGTGCCTTAATCCACTGAGCTATTTGGTGGGCCCAGCATTTAGAAATTTGTCAGTGTCCGTAATGGGCTTTGTGCCCCAGCAGCTCAGCTTGTAAGACACCATATTTAGACACTGTGTCTCCTTTTTGGCTACCCCATTGCCTCCAGTAAAAAAGCTGCAATGTGACAGTGATGTTCATTCCTTGTTACTGCTGTAGACATTTCCTTCAGTTACTAGATAGATGATTTTGTCTCAAATATACAGAATTACCACCAAAGCACCTGATCACAGGATCACCACTGTTGGAGGTTCGGGCTCTTTGGACTGAGACTAAGTAGAAGTAGATGTGTTAGCAGCTCCCCAGATGAAAGTGAAGTCCCTGAAACAGGTCCGGATGATTTCCCTGTTACTGGGTAAATTGCACAGATAATAATGTGGGTCTGAGTTGATGCCCCAGCCTTGCGTGGCAGCCTTATTTCCCAATATGATTTTTGTGTGTGTGTTTTGAGATAGGGTCCCTTCTACGTAGTTTGGTCTGGCCTTGAACTCACTATATACCCCAGACTGGTCTAAAACTTTTAGCAATCCTGTCTCATTCTCGTAGTTGTTGAGATTACAGGTGTGCACCACCACACCTGGCTCCTCAATATGACATTTTTTGGGGAGTCAGTCTTCAAAGATGTGGCTTCAGCTTTGGAAGTATCCTGAGAGTCCGTGTATGAGAAATTTGTTAGACATGAGTTTTTCTAGTCACTTCTTGGCAAAAGTTATTATTAGTCACTATGTAGCTTTTCTGAATTTGTAAGGTCTTATTAAAACATGAGAGACCAGAGAGAAACTCAGCGGTATGAGTGCCTGCCTGGCAAGTGCAAGGTCTTGAGTTTAATTCCTGGTACAAAAAAAAAAAAGAGATTGACATCAGGAGAGAAATTTTGGTTTGGTCATATTTATATGTTTAGTGGCTATCATTCTCTTGTATTTTATTATACAGAATATTGTGTTTTGCTTTGGCAGTGTATTTTTCCATGGGTACTTAAGTATTCTCAAATTATAAAAGTGGTTATAAATTATATCTTTCTCATTCCTGATTTGCCCTTTTTAGAAGTAACCATTATTTTTGGTAGCTTTTGATAATTACCCTCATTTATTTTAAGTATTCAGAGGTATTCTAGTCATCTCTTAAGAATCTGTGTAGGTCTAATACTGGTTTTTATATAGCTACCACAGTCTCATTGTTCTACACCTAGTTTTAATGCTAGTACATGGAGAGCTGCGCCCTTTTAGGGGGATATCTGTACAGTTCAACCAATTATATATAGACTTTTTGCTATTTCTAATATTTCCTATTAGGACGTTGTAACCAGTATTCTGATATGGATATCATTTCACCGTGATACTTAAAATTGGAATTTTGGGGAACTGGGATTATAGCTCAGTGATAGAACCACAGCTTGGCATGCTCTTTGCCCAGGCTTCAGTCCTCAGCACCAAAACAAAGCAGCAAAGAAACTTTGTAAGGTAGATTCCTAAATACAAGAGCGTAGATAGGACATACGTTTTGAATTTTGATGTGCGTTGCACATTTGCCCTCAGAAAAATTGCAGTTTGCTATTTCACCCCATTTCCAGAATACCTGATTCTCTAGAATTGTGCTAGCAATGTCACTCATTGAAGGAGCTGACTAGTTGCTGGGGGAGGTGTACCTCGCATGAGCTCGCACTTCCCATTGCTGGTGACGGAAGTCATCCCATGTCTTTAAAAGCCATCTGTATTTCCTTTTCTGTGAGCTGTTTTTTTTTGTTTTTGTTTTTGTTTTTTTTTTAAATATTTATTTTTTTATTTATTACATTTATTTATTGTGTGTGTGTGTGTGGCCAGCTCAGCCCACCAGGGGGCAGGGCTGGCTGGCATGTGGTGCTGGGGATCGAACCGCGGTCCCTGTGCTTTGCCCAGCTTGTTTCAAGTAGGTGCTTTAGACCACTGAGCCATCTCACCAGCCCCTGTGAGCTGTTTTTTTGCTCCTATTCTATTTTCTGAGTTTTGATTTGTGGGAGTATTTTATATCTTAACAAAGTAGTGGTTTTTTTTTTTAATTTTTTTATTTTATTTTATTTATTT